TATTAGAGTTATTACAAGAGTTCTGTCACCTCAAGAAAAAATGATAAATTATAGCATAGTGTAAGTACTGGCAGATGCTGGAAGCTGCTGTCATCTACTAGTCACTCATCAAACACTTACTGTCTACTATATTCAGGCACTATTTCAGGCTGTGGTAGGGATATAAATAGAAATGATAAGTGTATAATATAGTTTGGAAAATGAAGTATGAAAAATAATAAGCCAAAACAAGCTACTCTAAAGGTCAAACTGTGAAAGGCTCTAGACCAGCAGTGCCCAATCTTTTGGCTTCCCTGGGCCACACTGGAAGAAGAATTGTCTTGAGCCACACATAAAACACACTAACACTAGTGATAGCTGATGAGCTAAAAATAAATGCAAGAAACATCTCGTAATGTTTTAAGAAAGTTTGTGAATTTGTGTTGGGTCACATTCAAAGCCATCGTGGGCCGCCTGTGGCCAGTGGCCCACGGGTTGGACAAGCCAGCTCTAGGTGTTAGAGGCATTCATGGAGTCAAAGGGCTGAAAAATATCAATTATAGCAACACCAGTTAAGCACACTAGACGTTTAGTTTATTCCACTCCCTGCATCATGTCCCAATCAGATGAGAATCGCTCATATGTATAAAAGTTTATTGTGAACAGGCAAAAAGGCATTTGACATTTATCAGGAAAAACTTGCTTGTGTCTATTCTAGCACACTTATGCTACAGGTTGAGCCAATTTCTTTCGCTTGTGGTCTTCAGAGGAGATTTAAAAGTGTTACCGTTTCCTTGCCAGAGGTTACTTTCTTGCCTTCTGCTCCTTTCCCTCTCCTGCCCTCAAGCCTGAAGTACACCCACTAAGGCCTCAGCTTTTACAAGATCCCCCATGAACAACTAAATAATACACAGAAGTGTTTGTGCCTGGGCATATATCAAGGAAAGTATAAATGAGCTGCAGAGGGAAATGGAATTTCCTGGGTTGCCAAGGGGCTTTTAAAACTCATAAATACACCAGAAAATAAAAGGAAGGAAGTAATTATGGACAGCTCTCTGGCATGCTCCTAACCAGGCATGCCGGCTCCCACCAGCACTCCAGTGTGGGCCTGGTGCTGCAGGGCACGGGAGAAAGGCAGGCAGAGACACTACAGCCACATCCTCACTTGGACCTTCACCCATAGGCTCTGCCCATTCAGGGAAGAGATGGGCTGAGAACTAGAAGCTCCCCAGGCCACCTAAAGCAGGCAGCTTTGCTTAGATACCCTCAGTCTCCGCCCTGCCCACCCTCTCCACCAACCTCTGCACATCCCCTTCAGTCCCTCTCGCCTGCCTGCCAGTGCCGCCACGGTATTTAGTAAACGTTTGTTGATTGAATACATGAAGCTGTAGAGAGGTTTGACAACTTGACCAAGGACATACGGGTGGCAAGTCCTGGAGGTTTCCAACGTGGGCTGTCTGATTCCTGAAACAGTGCTCCTGACCTCCGTGCTGCACAGTGTGAAGGCGCTGAAAAACGGTCCTCAACTGTATCCTGCTCCAAATACCTTAGAATATCAACAAACGCGCTCTCTTTATACAAAATGGGACACAACAAACGTGCATGGAATTGAATCATCACCTTGGAGGTCAGAAACTGTGTCTAACTAAACACATGCACGCTTCCTTCTCTAATATTCCACAAGAGGGTAGACCTATCCAATAGGACTCATCGCCTGCTTCACTCACTGCTGTACACTGATTTAGCACAAGCTCGTCTTGTCTACTGAACTCTCATCTTCTTAAGGACCAAGGTCATATTCTATGTTTCTCTGCCTCCCTGGCAACCAGCACAAGGCCTGGCACTTAGTAGTGCTGAATGGATGTCTGTCAACTGACTCCACGCTATTTCCAATCCCAGTGATGCCCTCCTGCTGGTCTCACTGACAGTTCAGCTCTGAGCAGCCTGAGACCTGGGCAGGTCATTAAGCCCAACAGAACAGTGGCAAACTTAAACGACCCTCTCCTGCCTTCTCAGCTGGAAAAATGCTTCCAAACAAAATCTCAGAATGAAATGTGGCATGGCTCCCTAATTAGGCTCTCTCTCTCCTTCTAGCTGGTGGAGGATTTCTGGAAAAGGTCTTCTTCCTGCATGTGAATCCCTCTTTCCACGTAGTAAACAGAGGTGACGTTAACGGCAAAAGGACCGATTCCAGTGGGCTGGTTACATGCACCTTTCTTGCTTCTTGGGAGGGACAAACAGCAAATCGAAAGCAGCCTGGATGTCTACCCAGAACAGGTACTTCCAAACGCCGCCATTAGCAAGTCACCTCTAGCTCTGCCGTCACAGCAAAATCCTGCGCCCTCCACTGCAGGGCACTTTTGTGACTAAAAAACTATATTTATGCTGAACACAAGACCAAACAAAAGCTCCAGACTCTAACATCTTATTTACAAACATCTCAATGTGAAGTAATTAAAACAGTTGCAAAACTACTAGTTACCTTCCTTTCCTCCCCACCTCTCCTGGTGTCCTGCTCACCAAGGAGCAGTTCAGAAAGAGAGTGTGTAGTTCTAAGAAACCACCAGTAGGTGGTGAAGGCAAATTCTGCTGCGGAGGAGGCCCCTGAGAAGCCAGGGGGCCCTTGGGCAAATATCCGTCTGGGTTCCATTTTGATGGTTTTGGCTGGTGGTTTGGGATTTTAAGGCCTCCTCGTTAAAAGACTGTTCCATTTCCAAATAGCTTTTCTGGCTTAAAAGGAACGACCTTTTATTGTTTTGTTGTAATAAGGGTGACCATTTAAGTACCTCCCAGGTGCCAGACACACTAGTAGGTGCTTGACATACTTTCAATCCAGGCAACAACCCTATGACATATCCACCATCACCTCGTATTACAAAGGAACTAGGACTCAGCAAGTTCTAGTGCCCTGCCTACAGAGCTGGAATTGCTAGAACTGGGGATTTGAATCCAGTCTACATAGCTCCAACATCCGTGCTACAAACCCCCTGATTTCACCTTGAAGCCTGCTGATTCAGACAATACATTTGAGTAAGCCAAGGACGTGCTATCTTAGGGCAGTCAGGACAGCATCCCTAGGTCTCCAAGATCCTGAAACGACTGCCGAGGATACCGGGAATTCCATTCCTGGAACACGTCTCAGATCCCTGGGAGACCTGCCTCCTCTCCAGAGGTTACTATTCCACGCTGGTAGAAGTCCTTGACTCCTTTTCTCATCTCTAAGACACTGAGTGGAGCAGCCCTGGAGGCAGCAGCAGGGATTCTGGGTGGAGCAGCCCTGAGTGTATGTCCCTAATAAAGCCAGGCACAAGCTCCTCGGCTCACTGTCCATGGACAGTACAATTAATCACATTTCCACTTGCCACCTTCCCACCCGGCCTCGAGGTCATCTTCCAGAGTCTGCCTGGTTAGGAAACAAAGTCCTTTGACACAGATCATTTCTTTCTCCCCGAGAGGGCATTTTCTCTGCCCCTAAGCAGCACTAATCCCTCATTCTTATACGTATCCTCCAACAAATCTGCTCCAAGGTTTCCATTGTGGGACTGCCACCCTGCAGGGCTGCCCAGAGGGAGTCAACACCATTGTTTCTGAAGACACGCCCCTGCCCGGCTGAGCCCAGGGAGGCCCAGAGGACAGTGCCCCAGCACTGCCACTTTCCTGATGCCCTTTATCATACCCTGCCCCCAATCCTCAATTGCCTTGACATCTGCCAAGCAAGGCAGGCGCTGGCCAGGAGGCTCTCTCTGATGCTGGCTCTCCACCTGTCCACGCTTACCACCTGTGGACTCCAGTTCTGCCAGGCCAATTAAAACATGACATCTTCAGAGGGAGGGCAGTTGGCCATAAGTGCCCAGGAACTTCCCTTGAATCAGCTTCATTTTTCCAAAAGTGAGGTAAAGTCAAAGAAATACTAATCTGGGAGTCAGAAAAGCAGATTTCCATCCAAACTTTCTTACTAACTAGTTGTGCAATTTTGGACAAGTTCTTTAACTTCTCTCCTTCAGCATCTTCATGTTTGAAGCAGAAGAATTAGGCCAGGTGATCCTCCAAGTGCAAATATTCAGTGATTCTATGTGACTTGACACAAATTTCCTCTTATCAGAAGGGTAACTTGAGCGAAGTGAATGTGAACATGTAAATGGCAAAATAAGAAAGCTGTTCTGACCACTTACGAGCTTAAAACGTCACTTAAGAACTAGGTGTCCCCGGTGTGCACTCATCAGCACCTTGGCCCACTGCCCGTATGGCACTGATATGCTGATCACATAATGCCTTGTTTAATCCATGTTCTCCAGTGGCATACAAGTCTCGGTGAGGGCACTGTGCCTTTAGCTCACCCACCGCTGTATCCCCAGTCCCTAGTACCACCAGCATATTGTAGGCACTCAATAACTATTTGTTGCATGAATGAATTTCCACTGTACAAATCTGATTTCTGGACTGTACCAGAGACCAGGCAGCAAGCACATATTTAATAGACTCTGCAGCTCTTCTCTACCCCTTCCCTGTAGATTTCCATAGGAAAATGGACTTCTGATGGTTCTAACAGTGAGTTTTGTCCAACAGGGTTGCCTCTGGAGGTGGCCAGTTTCCCTCCTCCATCCACCCCCTCCCCAGTCAGTGCAGAAAATTCAGGATGACCACTGGGCATAGGGCCTCAAAAGCCACATCCACTCAGCATCCACAATTTGCTGCTGAGCCATGGGCTCCTTTTTCCCACCTGCTCCTTTTTGGCACATGGCTCAACTCTCATACCCTCCCTCTGTGCTGTCCGCACCCCCTGACACTGCAGGAGAGAAGACCCAGCACTTCTCAGGAAGCTTTGGCTCCTGCTGGCTCCGCTAACCACTTGAGGGCACATCTTCCCCATATGGGACGCATTTGGTAGAAAATTAATCAAAGGCATCTGATTTCAATGAAGCCCTAGTCCTTCCAGCTTGGTCCACAGTGCACGAGAGAACCCTCTTAACCTGACCGGCAGCCTGACAGCTTGGCATTTCTGTATCTTTAAAGGCAGGCTAAGTTGGAGAACAGACTTTTAATTAAAATTTACCTTCCTATACATGTGTTGCCCCACTGTTTACATTGTAATTTTCAGGTGACACATGCATATTAGTGCTACCTTTTGGGTGCTAGCAGTGGCAGCTCTACTGATGAAGGCCACACTAAAGGATCCATTGACTGGGTCTGCCAGAGCCACTGGGTAACTGGCACCCTGCAGCAAGGCGATTAATCTATATATTCTTCCTCATAGCTGTTGTAGATACAAGCATGGTGCGGTGGGTGGTCCTGAGGGAAAACAGACAGAAGGGAGGCACAGACCCGCAAAGGACACACCATACAAAATGCAAGGCACCTTCTCAGCCCCGCAGCCAAACTGGGTGGAAAGCGCCACTGCCGAAGACCTTGGAATAACAGACCCCATCAAGGAACGCAAACCTAGTAACGGACAAGCCGACTCAGAGGGAAAATGGAGCTGCAAACACCTGTGACGGGGAGAGGCGGAAAAGCACTTTTGGGGTGCAATCAACCTATTCCAGGGCAACTGACTATGCTTTCTAGGTCGCCAGGACCAACTGGTTGGTTGGTTCTTGAACTGTCTGGGAAGGCAGAATCTGCGCAAGAGCCTCAAACTCCAGAGCAAAGTAAACAGGCCATCGTCATGTACTCAGCAAGAAATCCTCACTCCTCAGAGAGATGCTGGCTGGAGAGGGATGCCGGGCAGGGTACACGGCCGGCTCTCACACTTACAGCACATTCATGCTCAAGGAGTGGGGGCTGTGGTGTAGGAGGGAAGCTTCAACTGTGCTTCTCCAAAGGACGAGGAAGAGGAAAACAACCCTGTCCCTGGGCAGGGCTCGGTTCCCTTTGATGATGCAGTCGTCAGTGGAATTCTTGAGGGTCTTCACTCGAACTCAGTGATTAACACACAATCTGACCAATGAATAGTTATTGGATGATGCAAAAAAAAAAAAAAAAAAAATCAATGATCGGAAATCGTTTTCAGCCAGAGCCATACATTAAAATCAACCTGGAGAATGTGAACAAATTCAGATGCCCAGGCCACATCTGCAGACATTCTAATTCCTGTGTTCATAATCATGATTTCCAAAGTGTGGTCCCAGGCCAGCAGCAGGGAGTCACCCGGGAGCTTTTTAGAAATGCAAATTCTCAAGCTCCATCCTGGAGCCATTGAAACTCGGAAGTGAGAGCCCAGGAGTCTGTGTTTTAACAAATCCTCCAGGTGATTCTCATGCCCACTCAAGTTTGAAAATGAAGGGCCTGGAATAGACTGTAGGATCCTGACATTGTTTCTGTGAAATGATCCCAGATGATTCTTCTGTGTGGCCAGGGATGAGAATTACTAACTTAAAGACTCACAGGAGCACTCCCAATGGGACATGGCCTGCTTTCCCCAGAATGACAGAATTGGCGAGAGCTTCTCATCAGCAAAGCCCACATCAAGACCACGCAGGCTGAAACTGCTCTTCGGGCACTGATCTCCACTGACCCAACCTTCCTAAATAGCCACTGAACAAATGAGCAGCCACATTCATTCTCATTCCCTCATTTCTCTGGAACTGCACCATGTGCAGCCCTGCCTCAAGGGACACGATCGCTTATCCAGCGACACTCCATGAGGTCACGATCACAATCAAGATGAGCAGGAACGACTCAATACTTCCCCGATCCCTCCCCTTGCGAAGGTCAGGCGAGGAGGGGACCCATTCCCAGAAACCCTTCCTCTAGAACATTCCTTGGGAAAAATGGAGAGAAGGGGTTAAAAATACCAGGAGACCATGAAGGAGGAAAAGCCATAATTTGAGAAACCCAGAAGAGGTCCTAATGGTAAAGAGCCCTCTGTCAACTGGGAGCAGGCCCCTGTGGGACCTCCCACATCTGGGCCCGGAGGCCCCCACTGTGCCGGGGTAATTGGGACAGTCAGCCAGGCAAAGCATACAGCTTCCAAATTTCTTGCATGACCCCCCCACCCCCACTCCTGCCCACAACACACAGCCCTCACTTTAGATTTTGTCTCCAGAAAACAAGAATAAAAATCTGCTTAAAAATCCTCTGGGGTTCCAACGTGCTTGGAGCACATGAGTAAGGCAAGGCCACTACCAATTTCAGTCCTGAAGCACATTCTTTTGGGACAGTGAAGAAATCCTTTCTCCTGTTATGAGCATCGCTCAGTGAGAAAAAACATAACAAAGTCGTAAACAAGAGTCCCCAACCCACATTTCCCGCTGTCCAGAGGAGGGCTGCTCATGACAGCCTGAGTCCAGGTCCTGTCATTGTTTCTTGTTTGTCTCCTTCCAGCCTAACCTCGTGACTCTGTGGCCAGAGTACTCTGGAGGGAGGTACTGTACCTCCTGACTCCACAGCCCCAGCCCTGGGCCTCGCACACAATTCACACCTGATCCCAACAGGAGCTGCTGAATGAACCTCACAGACCTGTTCTTCAGCCACCCAGAGAAGCCCCGAAGCCAGAACCACTGCAAAGCAGCTGGGTGCTGGGCCATCAGGCCCGGTTACCTGTGACACCTTCCCACAGGGTCCTTACTGTGCAGATCCTGTGGACACTGGCCCTTCCCATCTGGCTTCCTGCCTAAGGCATATTTTCGTCTGCTTGTTCCACTTTCAAGTATTATGTTCTAGGAATACTAGCCACTAAGGCATCTTCTCAAATTCCTTATTAAAGAATAGGCCAGAGCCTAGGATAATCAAAGTTCTTGTTTCCTACTCCCTTTTAAGGCCAACAGTGAAACCTGTTTCCCAGGCCTCGGCAAGCTTTGACATTAACTCTAAATGGAAGGTCAAACAGGCCAGTCTTGTTTCAAAGCTCTTTGTAAAGAAAAAGGACAACTGAAAACAGAACCGGCCAGGTATAAATGACGAGTATTTAGCTCTTGGTAACTCTGTTCATTCTAATAACTCCGGCAGTCATCCATAATTCACATGAGGCAACATCCGTTGAAACAGCTGAGTGAAGAAAACAGGCAATGGGACTAGGAGACCTTCATTTTTAGTTAGAGTTCAGCCCCTGGGAAACATCCCTGGGCCTCAAACTCCCTGACTGTAACATGACGGCTGGCCTAAAGGAACTCGCCTGAAAAGCTGTGCAGTTTTAAAAATCCCTATCTTCAGTAGAAAACAGCTGAAATCCCAGAATTACAGAACTGGAGAGAGCTTCTCATCAGCCAAGCCCACATCAAGACCACGCAGGCTGAAACTGCTCTTCCAGCACTGATCTCCACTGACCCAACCTTCCTCCATGAATGTGGAGAATACCACCATGGATGTGCTCTTCCTTGCACATATAACTTAAATTCCTAATAAAACACTCCCTTCCACTCCCCGCAAAAAGTCCCTGGCTAGGTGCACACCAGCCTCTCTTGAATGAGCACATTAGCAACAGGTTGAGAAAAAGAGTAGAAATACCATCGGATAAGAACATGGAGTCTGGAGAACAGGGAACGGTGGAAGGGAGCCTAGGAACATGGACAATAAGTCTCATCTATAACTCTGCTTTGAGTAATCCCAGCTCTGCTCCACAGCAGAGTCCTCTAATCGAAGGTCAACTCATTTGGGATGAGGAGGTGTTTGTTTAAGGAGAGTTTCAGAAGAGCGCTCCTAAGTTCCGAAAGCTCCTGAGTGGTGGCCGGCACGTGCTATGGGCAAGGAAGGCAGGCTACGATTTCCTCTACCACCTGGGCTCTCCCTGCAGCCCTACCTCACCTTCCCAAGTGGTTCTGGCCAGTGGTATGTTGTTAAATGTTTTAACAACTGGCTTTTAGGGGAGAGAGAAGGAAAGCTCTGGTTGTAGCATACACCAGTTTTTGTGGTGTAAATATTCCCCCTACCGCCCATTTCAAGCTATCAATGTAATGACACTGAACGCCCAGTGTAAAGGGTTGAGTTCAGCCAGCTCTCATGAGCCCTTCCCACCCGCTTGACCCAAGCAGGGATGGAATGGAGAGACATGGAGTGTTTCTACAGAGGGAGCAAAGTGTGAGCGACAGGCTGCTGTCAGCACTTAGTGGCCCATCCCTCCTCCCAGAGAGCAGAAGAGATGCCAGGCACCACGGGAAGCCAACCCGGAATCTGCAGAAAGGCCCTAGCCGGGGCGCCGCTCACTGAAGCCCAGCTCCCACCAGAGGGCAGGCTGGAGAAATGAAAGGAGACACATGGCCCTGGTCCGTTCTGTGGCTACCAGGACAGGTAACGAGGAGGAGGCTTCAGGCTCTAAGGAAAATGAAGTTTGGGGATCACCACTAGAAGTTAATTATCTTTGCTGCCCCTTGGAGCAGCGGGCATCGCTGCAGACTCACATTGGAACCAGGCTGAACGGAGAGTCGCTTGCCTGCAGCTTAGGGGCAGAACTGTCTCGTCCAACTGCCACTCAGTGAGGAAACTGAACAAAGCAGGACCCCATAGAGTGCACAGGCCCGAATTATGGTAAATTACAAAGCAATGATAATCATTTACATGTGTGTGTGTGTCTGGAGTGTACGCCTCACTTTCACAGACCTTTCTTCTTTTTAATGCTGATCCTGGGAGGCAGACAGAACAGTCAGTTCTCTCCCTAAAGAGTTGACAGCATAGAAGCAGGCAGCATGCCCGCCTGGAGGGTTGCTCTGCACTGCACCCGGGTCCTGTTCTGCACCCTCCTCCCCCAGCCCCTCGCTGTCTCGTCCTTTCAGTGGCTCTTCTCATTCATTCCATCTTGGCAGCAGCCGCTTGTGTAACTAAAACCGCAAGAAACTTTGTTTGGCTTCGAATTCAGAAGAAATTCCAGTAACTCACTTCCCACTACCTAAAAAAAAAAAAAAAAAAAAAAAAAATCCAGAGCTCTGCTCTAGAGAATTCAGCTTTTCCCGTGGGTAAAATATTCACAAAAAAATGCTCCCTCTCCCCGGCTTACCCCACTCCCCCGCTGAAGCCCCAACATCTGAAAGTCATCGGCCCCTCACTCACACAGCCCGGCAGAGTCCCCGGCACTTCCTGAGGGCCAGGGCTGAGCTAGGGGGATGGCGGGTTCCTGTTTCATGGCTGGGGCCAAGCAAGTTAAGAGCTGTTGAAAGATGTGCTTGGCTGGTCTCTCTCCTCACCCGGGTATACTGTTGATTTTTGTTTTCAGTGGACAAGGAAGCCAGGGATGAGATCTCTGGGCATCCAGCTCCTGGATCTTGGAAAAAGGCATAGCCAAGGCCCTCCTTACTCCTCCCCACCGGCCATATCTAGTATCTGCTAACACCCTTGCAAACAGCTTCGGGTCTGCATGAATGAAGAACAAGTAGCTGCTGCTAACTCTGCATGTCCTAGGCCCTTTCTATTGAAAGTGGGGCCCAGGATTCGGACAGACGGCAGCATCCTCTGGGAGCTTGTTCCAAATGCATCATCTTGGATCCCCATCCTGGATCTCCTGAATCAGAATTGCATTTTCACGAGATTCCCTGGCACCATCTTTAGACCATGTGCCAATAAACATTTTGGTGTAATAGACACGTATTGGGTACCTGCTGTCTACCAGGCACTGTGCTGGGTGCTGAGGTGATAAAATTCTGAAAGTGGAATCCCTACTCCAGTGAGTATACAGGACAGACTGGCTCGCGGCAATAATGCCCTGTCCCTGCAGGTTGAGTGTGGACACACAGTAAGGGGTCCGTGGTCGTCCCTCACGGAGGTGAAGGCTCTAACTTGTCCCAGCCTGACCCTGTGACTTCAGATGCGTCCTACCCTGCATTTTCAGTACAATTCTGTGGCTGATACTGGTTTGCTACCCAAACTCTCCCCTGAAAAAGGTAAGACACTTTGTCAACCTCCCTTGCAGCCAGTTGGAACCAGTTAACTGGACTGTGTCACGAAGAGTAAGGAGAAGTAGCCTTGCACCTTGCTACTCAAAATGCAGTTTCCAGCCACACTGACATACT